TATATATATATATATCCCTATACACCATACGCCCCCATATTCCCCCCCTTATATCCCTATGTACACTGCAGCCGCGGTGACACTGCAGCAAACCCTGGCGCGCGCGTGGAATTGCTGCCAGGTCCAGATGTTCCAGGGCTACCTAAGTTTCGAAGGGAAATCTAAAGATTATGGAGGATATATATATATATAGAGATTCTGAATAAAGGGTTGTATAGCAATTAATCAGGGGTATGATCAAAATAATGGAGAGTCAAACGCAAAAGAAACGGAAAACGAAAAAGGAACGGGATCACAGAGGGCTTCACACGGGTTGATTGATGCAGGAGCCCCATAAAATTCCAACATCGTTTTGAGCTCTATTGGTGGTACCCAATACCATAAATATGTAGGAGCCTGGGCCATAGTATAGGTAATGATTTAGAATTAGGATGAAATAAGTAGATTGGGGACCTACGTTCCGAAGGAATACCTATGGGGTAACTATGTAGCGTTTTAGGATCGAGGGTTGTAGGCCTACCTTAGGCTGAATTGCAGGACCGACATCATTATCCAATAATGGAGAAGCACTGGAAAAATGTGTGGAGGATGGAAGCTGGGTCATATAGTGGTTGATAGTTGATAGCGTCGTTAATAGGGTTTTTACTTTTTGCAGGTTTCTTAAATGGAGATTTTGGTGATAGCCAAGCCTCAAGTAAGGACCATGATTTCCACTTTCATGTGACTTTTGTCGGTCCTTACTGTAGGGATTGAGGATCGCAAAATCGTCTTATTGTATAGGAAAAGTAGGTCGGGGTAGCGTCCACGTGAAGATTAGTGGCTGCTCCAATATTAGCCCCGAGCCATCAATATTCGGTACTCGCAGTATTGGCCCGAATGGCAAGATTATCTGCAGTCATCACAGGGACAGGGGGATGTTAAAGTTGTTATACTTATATAACAACATATATATATATACACTTTGAATATATATATATATATGTACGTATATGTTTCCTATGAATGTACAAAGCTCCTCCTGTGCTTACAGACAATCATTATGAACGGTCCCCTTATCCCCCTCATCATCGTGCCCCCAAACATAGCCCTGTTTGGATTTAGGCGGAGGCGCCCGAACGCGACAGACTCGCGCGAGATCTCCGCCGAAGATCTCCTGCAAAGCCTTTCTGTCGTTGGATTCGGAGAGGCTTGCCTCAAGTGCTGTAAGGATTTCTCAAAAGGTGCGAATGTGTGGGGGGTTGCATGGTGATTCATAGAAGTCCTATAGTTCAAAACTTTCAAGAGATATTCTTGGGTCGGAAATGCCCCAAGGAAACTGATAGGGCCATCGAAAAGACGACCAAGAACCATGGGAGCGAGAGACCTTGCATTGCCTTCGATCAAAACGGGTATGCAGAAGTATGCAAACTTGAAATCAACAACAATGAGTGCTTTGAAGCCGCTGGCTAACTATGCAGTGTGGGGACTGATGCCATTTCTTAGGCTAGTACGTAGATTCGTCTGTATGAAGGCTTAAGCACCAGAAGAATTGAATTCCATGCTCAGCCACTTCGAACCTGCGAACACACCCCAGACCCTTTCGTGCTCAATATTTCTTACAGTGGTCTATCTACATGCATTACATGTAGTATACATACATGTATATATATATATACATATAGCCCGGAAAACTTGTCTGAGATTAGTGGGCAGAGACTAGATTGTTGGCAGACTGAAGCATCATGGAGCCGTGTGCTCTACGCAGACCACAGGTTCTCTGTTCTAGCAAACAACCCTAAGGATCCATGTACCCAATAATTAGGTACTTGGGATATTGGTAATGGCAATTATAGTACAGATTTTGGGTAAGTATAGAACTATTGGGTACTTGGACCCTTAGGGCAACAGCCGGGCGACAATCATGAACTTGCGAGCCACCTCTACCTGCCCGGACGTGGATGAGGTTGAGGTTATACCTGTAACCCCAATGACCTGCAGTTTCATGGTAACTACCCCTTAATTTAGTAGGTACACCCCATAAAGCTGTAGGTAATGAGGGGGCCACAGGTAGCCCTTTGAAGCGGTTTGTAATTGAGATTTGGGAAGGTCTGGACTGAGGATTCTAGGGGCCAAAAGCGTAGAATTGTCTGGCACCACAAGAAGCAAGATTTCAAGAAAAAGAGCCCCCGCCATAGAGCCTTCTTGTCATGGTGACGACTTGGATGCGAAAGGTACCCATGATGAGCTTCACTTCTGTGAATGCTCGGGCGTTTAGGGTTTAGTGGAGTTGCCACAGGATAGAGCTCTGGGGCCCTCAAAGGGTGTACGGGAACCGAGGTGGATAGGCAAACCCCTCGCGATCCTATATGTCTAAGCCCTAGGACTTGCGGTACTATAGAAACACAAAGTCATGCAGGGCGTTGTCTATCAGCAGTATACAGGTACCCACAGGAAACTTGACAGGTTGTCTTTCAGAAACAACATTGGTCCCAAGCATCAGGCAAGAAAGCCACGCCTATGCTGGGAAGCTTTTAAATCGCAACTAACAAATAATCTAGAGACTTGAACGATCGGGACACCAGGGGCCATCAGTCTGCAACAAGCTTGTATGATAGTACAGCAAATTTCTCTGTCACGTTTCTACGCTGTCAAAGGCAATTTTTGCTTGTGTATGCCTGCATGCTGGCCTTTGGTTTGCTAGGAATAAAGGAATGGATCCTTATAGTAGTCCTGATATAACCCTCTATAGCAGTTTGCATTTTTTCCATTCCAGCATTCCCAGCTGACCAAAGGCCAGCATAGTAGCTGCACGCGTGCTGGCCAAAGACCCTGACGCGGACGCTTCAATTCCGCCTGCGTCAGCAGTTCGATCTCAGCCTTGAAATCATGGTGGGCATGTGGGAAGAACGTCTCAAAGAGGTTCTACAGTCCGAACATGCTAGCCTTCGCAGGAGTTGCAAGGATAGTTCTTCATTTCCGGCCTCATAGTATCAAGGACACTTGCACTCAGGTAGCTTCATGACTTGATACACCAGCCCAATTGAAGCCGCACCTCCAAACGAGAGAAAGAGTAACAACGCTCGCATAGCGGGCCTAGACGGACAACGCTTTGGACAAAGCAGACAGCTGTGCAACATGATCGTATGAACTACTCTTCTAAACATGACCCTGGGTATGCAAGTATACAGATAGAACTTACATTGGGCCCGAAAGTCTGCAAACGTCACCTAAATTGGGGCTTTGGGATCCTTAGGGCGAGCCCTGACTTTCGCAGCCCTTCTAATGAGTTCCGCTCTCCAGGTGCAGGCACGATACTTTGGAGCTCTGCACATGCCCTCTTGAGCGCACGAGACCTTGAAGGGTAAGGGGAAGAATAGGGGAAGCTGTGGTAGACTGCAAGCACTCTAGCTTGGACGCTGAAACATGTGGTGTTCCAGGCGTGTGGGAAAAAGTCAGCCTATCATGAACACGTCAGCCCTTCCGCTGCATCAAGTCCCCAACATGTGCGATGGCCTCCTGCAAGCTTCTACGGCACTCGGTCTGACAATAGAACCATGCAAATTGGGAGACTTAATCCATGCATGTGTTGATTCCAATCCTTCCTCGTGCCCCATTGTCAGCAAACACTGCCAGAATCTAACTTTTGCAGAGTGTGGCGCGAGACTGGCTGCCAGCCACCCCCGTAAAGTAGAAGGTCTTCAGTTGAAAGACATTCTGAATCAACATCTGCTGTGCCCAGGGAGACTTTCCGCTAGAGCAATCTAAGCTTGTAGCCCACCAGGAGCCACTAAACCCTAAGCGTCCCACATCCAATAGTCATATACTTGCCCAACAGCTGCACTACAATTGCAAATTATCCAAAACCCAAGTACTGAATTCTTGGGTACTTGGACCCTTAAGGAAAGGCCTAGGTTCAAGCCGCTTGCCTGCCTAAACATGAGCCCAAGTGCTGTCCACCGCAGCATGCAGTTCGATCACGATTTCATCGAAATGGTCGGCTGTCAGCTCGCATCCCGGTGCCATCGCTTCCGGCACGCGTTGGGATGTTATGCCGTCTATTCAAGGCTTCTTGTTGCAGCTTGGAAGCTTATTCTTTAACAGATCAGAAGCACTCGGGCTTTAACCTTCATAGTGGACATGGTTGTGAACGCGCAATTTCCGAATTAATTCGAAAGTTCTAGCATTCAGTGGGTTAGGGTAGGGGAGAAGGCAATGGCGGACGAGCCGCTGAACGGGGTGAAGGAAACTGGGTGACAGAGATCACTTCGAGACCGAAGCTGGTTGAAGATTGGATGTAGGCTGAGGCTTCCAGGACAGTCCTCTGTTAAGATTTGCTTAGTGAGTGACAAAGCTTTCTCTGCAGGATTCAAACCAAAATGAAATTGAACTTAAGCCCAGAAGGGTTCCTGTATATATATATATATCTATATCTGCAAGGGTCTGCATATTTGAATCTATTTACGTTTATGGTAGTTCGATGACTTAGGGCCTCTACAAGCTGAAGGAGCGGCCTCTCCTGGGCCGAGTGATACTCCAGGAGAGGAGCCAGCACGCAAGCGCGGTGCGACGATCCCACTTTGCAGCCCCAAAACATCACGGTTAAAAGAGGTTTCGGGGTTTAGGGTGTTTGGGCTCAGGGTGAATGAACAAACGCGGCAGTTCAGGGGTTAGGAAGGTTGTGTTCTCTCTCTCTTTTGGAAGAAACTGGTTCATATGCCTTTGCATACTTTATGGCATATAGGGGCTATCGCACGATAACCCTAGGCGTCCACATGCTTAAATTTCCCACAGCTGATGAAGCTACTCCGTTTGCCACGGCCCATTATGCAGGACTGCGCCAATCAACGTAGCTGACCCCTTTCTCCTGCCGAATAAACCGCCTGAAAAGCCAGTGAAAACCCTCAAACTGATTAAATCATGCAAACCTGATGCTCCGTGATCCTAAGTCCCTAAACCCTAATTCCCTATAATCCCTAAACCCCCCCCCCTACTCGCCAACCCTGACCCTCTGTTCGGTAGGCCTCCAAGGCCTGAAGGTCCTGGCGCACGGCCACGTGAGGCCCGAGGAGCCAGGTGCGGCAACTGCTGCCGAAGCGCCCGTACTCGGGCTGCAGCGCCACATATCCTTCATGGGTACCCCTATATGGTGGTTTCCCAAAAATAAGACCCCAAAATACTATAGTCCTTGGGACCCCTAAAATGGTACCCCTAATTTTGGGTACCCCTATATACTACACCCATACTTCTGCCCCTGGCTTCCTCGAAAGGTGAAAGAAGCTTAATCAAGCCCAGGTAGGGCCAACCGGGGGAAGGGGGGTAGAGTAGGGGGCGGGAAGCAGGGGAATCCATGAATCTTATAGGGTTAAGGGGTATAGGGGGAGGGCTTTTACGGCTAGCTAAGAGGACGATGTTGTGCACCGGTCATGAATAGGCGTATGAGTATGTTACACAGGGATCATGTAGGGCTGGTATATATTAGATAAATAAGTGGTTGGAACATTGGGTTTGGAGCGAAATGTTTGAGATACACATCAAGGTTTGCAGACAGTGGTGATGGCAACCTTACGCCACGTTCACTCTAGACCCGAAAACTTAAATCTTACATGTCTGAGCTGTTGCTGGCCTTAGTGCACTTCATGTGGTGCACCATTCAATTTAGGTTCAAGGCTTTGAACATCAGAACGAAGAAGCCAAGCATCCCCATGATAGGTTAGGTGTACATACAGTACCTCAAAAGGGGAACCAAAGCCGTGACCCTTACAAACACCCAAAATCTCCAGGTATGTACCTTGATCAAAATCAAGAAGGATGACAGCTGACCAGAGGAGTCAAGTGAGGCTTCCCAAAACCTGGGCATACGTTTCTGGGCGTCCTAGCATAAGGATTGACATATGTTAGGGTCTATATATGGGAAAACTGCCAAGTGTACACAAAGCCACCAAAGGGTGAGCTTGAACCCTAAACCCCCATATACATATATATATATATATGGGTGGTTGTCAAAATTATGGTCCCCTTTTGGGTACCCTAAATATAACGTGCCGTATTATAATAGGGATCCAAAAAGGAACCATTATTTTGACAGCCACCCATATATGCCCCGTATATACACCCCTTTAATTAAGGAATTTGGATCATGAGCCAAGTGTCCACAGAGCCACCTAAGGGTGGCCTTACCATGGTCTGTCCACACGCACTCCTCCGCTCTTCGGAAGCTGTTGGGTGGGACGAAAATCTTCGTCTTTCCTGGAGACACCTGCGATTTCAGGACGAGACAATTCTACAAACCCTACAGATCCAAATAGCCCAATGTAGGCTCCCCCACTCCCATTCAAGCACTAGTAAGCCCTCAACACAGTCGAACCCATGAAATGGTAGTTTCCCAAAATAGGGAGACCCCAATATAGACCGCAAAATACTACAATGCTTATTGGGACCCCCAATATGGTACCCCTAATTTTGGGAAACCCCCAAATGTGTTTCAACAACTCTCTCGCCTGGGCACCCCAGCTGCCTGTGGATGCTTGTTCGTCCTTGCAAGGGCGAGGTATTGAAAGGTTCACAGGGTTTCTGGGTGTACTGCTGAGGGTTGCAGGTGGTGGAGTTGAGGCTTAGGATTCGCAGGGTTGTTGTAGAATTCTGGCGGCTGAAGTTCGGGACTCAAGATTCGGCTAAGTTTAATTGTCAGTTTCAGCTCGCACTTGTGCGGCGCGTAGGATTGTAAGTTCCATGTCTGCAGGCTAGCATCCGTTTCAGTTTACGGTTTGGATGATGTTGCGTTTGGAGCTTAGATTGTATGCCCACCTGAGCGGGAGCTTCCCTCTTCAAAGACAAGTTGTCAGTTTCTTAAACGTATTTCAGACAATGCGAGGTCTTAAGGTTCAAAAGAACAACCAGACCCTCGCACAGGTAACTATGAGCTAGCAAGGTTCTCGCCTATACAAGGGGCCCCACAGAGGCGCTTGCGCATGCTACATCTCTTCATAACGATAATAACTTCGGCAAAAAGACGATCCCTATGGACATATGTATATATGAATATGTATATATGTATACATTCATGTTACTCAAAAGGGAAACCCGAGGGACCCCATCGATATGACAAACGAGATGGAGATTTGTGGGGGATCTGTGCAAGAAATTATAAGCGGACTATTCAAAACCACCTATGATTGTCATTCGTCATAGTATGACTATGACTACTATCCTTGGTACGTTTGGGGGGCAAGCAGCCCACCTTGGGCAGCGACGCCAGGGCCACGAAGACATCGGCGTAGACGCTGAGGTCGTGGCAGGCCCTTCCTTCGAGGACCTGGCAGAAAGTCGAGATTTTGTACAGCTGCGCCCCATAATTAGTGGTTTCCATTTTATATTCATTATCCCAATATTACCCCAATATTAGTACGAACATGACACCCAGGGCACAACATTGTTGATGACCAGGTCAACGTAGACCTGGCCAGGAGGCAAGTTGCGTTAGGTATCACAAGGCGTGTGCTGCAGTGCGAAATCAGTGGAATTTGTTGCAAGCTACGGCATCGCACTGAAGGGCAGCAGTAGCCTTTTTCTCCATCCACAGTGGAAGAGTTGTTCCCTGCAAGGAAAAAAGCCGCTTCTCATGCTTGGAAATGATTTGTTTGTTCAAAGCTGTTTAGCTCATGCACCCGAAGACCAGCTCCGTACCACAGAGCCAGCCAACGCATGTTCATGGCGTCGACTTCTGGACTACTTCTCTTACATGATGTCAGGCACGTGTGACAGCCTTATTACCTCCGGCAGACCGGGCAAGACTTCTTCCTGCCGCAAGGATGTTGTATGTAGTCTTGCCAGTGAGACTTGCACATGTAGTGGTGACTGTCGCACCGTGGCGCTCTCACTGGGGCAATCACGTCCTTTCCCTCCTTCAGGCAAATGCGGCACTTCTGATCTTCACCTATGGGAAGCTCGTTGATCAGCTTGTCAGAGGCTGCGATCATGTGATCAAGTTGATTGTCGAACGCATCATTTGGAAGGTGTTCAATGAGTGCCACCATGCGATGCACGTCCTGCATGTATTTCTCAGCTCTCGTGACACCAATACAGGACTCCTCTTTCCATTGCCACACAAAGTACGCGATCCCAATCGCCAAGATTCCAATGCACAAGGCCGTACTCGCGCTAGTCAACAGTATCTTTCCCACAGTGATGGTTCCTTCCAACAAACCAAGTGCACTGAACCCGGTAACCCCAGTCTGGTAGAGGAATGTGCACAAACCTGTAAAGGCAGCAGTCCACGCAAACAGTCCACCTGCAGCCTTGTATGGGTTCTGCTTGACCCAGCGCCTGGTTTCATGGACTCGGATATGGAACCACGAGTTCTCCACACCAAGAATCATGTACATCTGCAGCTCCATCTTATTCAGATGGGCAGTCATCTTGTCCTAGATCCGGTCGAACTCGTCCTTTTTCGGACCTTCTGGAAGTTCGTCGTAGTTCTGAGCATCGTTGGCTAGGTCTTTCATCTTGTACACTCTCCTGGTGGCCTTGTATGCCTCGATGACACCTTTAATGAAGCCAAGTTTGTCTTTCATGTCCTCCGTTGTTTCCGGGCCCGGAGGCACAGTTTCAATCTGTCGCTGCAAAAAGTCTACTTCCGTGCTCAGCCTGCTCTTCGCCAGATCACACGAGTCGAGTTGGTCCCTGAAGCGCCGCACACATTCATTGGCCATTGCGGCGTGCTACTAAGCATCCAACAAAGACAGCTTGATCCAAAGCCCCAAAAGTTGAACATTGCCGCTCATGTAGGTTGCCTTCTTAGGTTCTTGCAGAAGGAAACTATCACAGCACGGTGCTTCACAGCACAAGAAAACATGCCAGGCGCACCAGTCGAGGATGGCATCCCAGCGTGGACAAATGAAAGCAGATGTTGGTCCGCATAGCGGTAGTTAGCGGGGAAGAAGGGCCTTAATCCTCAATAAAATCCCTGTATAACATATTCCCTCATTCCCCACTAAACCCCAGTAGGTCAAAGATGTAGGGTTGGACAAGGCGTGGTGATGATGCAAGCGCCTCAGAAAGCAACGACAAAACATCTGTCCGAGAAGGTTCGCCGTGCATAAAATATTCAGGATCGTGGTCAACTAGTGGCAGTGAGTAAGTAGAGCACGCTGCAGTCTTCTATGTTTGAGATCTGAGCTTTCAGTTGTAGGTACAGTGCATACGTTTGGGAGTCATTTCACCCCAGAGGCAACTGTCAACCGGACATTTTCCGGAAGGCATCAAAGGAAATCTTGTTGAAGTGGAAGTTCCAAGGCTTGAGTTTTGGTGGTTTCGTCCTAGAGGCTTAACTGCGCATCATTGCGAGGATTGAACAGGTACTGCTTTCTCTCTCTCTCTCTCTCTCTCACACGCTCACCAAGATATAAGTTTGATGATGGATAGGTAAAGATAATCATCGGGCTTCAGGTGGGATCTGGATTGCTGAAAATGGTGTTGTTTCAAGTTCTGGTTGAGAATTCAGATGCGAGCACGTGGGGAGGTATGTGGGTTGGACATCATGTAAGGGGTTTGCCGCATTCGGATTATTGGTAATAAGAGGATGTGGGAGGCTTCTCACTAACCCTAAGCCCTAAACCGTAAACCTCAGCATCAAGACTACCAAACCCTGGGATAATGAGGGCATGCCTAGACTGGCCTCTACGAAAGCTACCGTGCGAGATGAGTCTTCCAACCTCCTCACAGTGGGATTAGATTATATGGGATTGCGCAGTGTTACGGGCACGCATCTCCTTCATGAAGGCGCAGAAGGACATGGGATCCAAGTATACAGATAATACATACATCGGACCCTAAAGTCTATAATGACTACCTACATTGGGCTATTCAGATCCTTCGGGTCCTACAAATGGCAGAAGACCCTTCTTTCACGGACCTGTCGCGACATACGCCAATTTTGCAAATTATGGATCCCCAGAACTGGGATGCCTACTGCAGCAATAGTAGTTGTCGAAGAAGTGAGTAATAGTCATACTAGTAAATGGTAATAATAGTGATAATAGCAATACTAGTAAAAACAGTAGTAATGCTAGTTAAACAAAACAGTAGTAGTAATAGTGGTAATCATGATAATAGCAATAACATTTCCAGGAAGACCTGGTACGGTCCCATAGGCCTGCAAACACTTCCGTAGTCCACTCCCAGAGAGATCCGTAGCCACGCCAAGCCTTCTCCTCAATGGGCTCAGAAGGGTTTAGGGTTTAGGGTTTGGGAGGTACATGGAACCAAGATACGCTCAGGGTTTAGGGCATTAGCATTTTGCGAAATCTTCGAAAGGCCCTGTCTGTAGGGGCCTTAGTTTGAAATTGAACTATAACCGAGACGGTGCCTAACTCACTAACCACCCTTCTTTGCAGGGCCTGTTTCCTTGACTTTGATTAGACCCCAATATAATATACTCATTGCTATGGGAAGCCCAGAAAGTTACCTTTAAGTTTGGGAAACCCCCTTCCATTGTTGAGGGAGAGAATTTGTTCAGGGCGGGTGAAGAAGCCTGGCTTAGAGGCACTGACCCAAAGATAATGTTGTCGGAGGGAATCACCACCTCAGCATCTAATATTACGGGCAGGACCACTGCCATATAACTATCATGTGACTGTCATAGAGTCCTAATTTTGCGGGTTGGGGTTACCACGCTCTCAGAATAATCACCAACAAAATTGCCAAATCTTATGATAACCCCTAAACCTCAAAATCTAAACCCATAAACCCATAAACCCCTAAACCCTGAATTCTGATTTTAGGACTTCAGCAGGGTCTCAGGCAGGCCAGACAGCTCGTGGGGGCATCATTCCTGGGCTGCAGATTTTGGTTCATGGGTTGTTTAGGGTTTAGGGTTTAGGATTTAGGGTTTAGGGCTTAGGGGTTAGGGTTTAAGGTTTAGGGTTTAGGGTTTAGGGTTTAGGGGTTGAGGGCATTTTAAGGGTTTAGGGTTCCGGGGTTTAGGGCTGAGGGGTTTAGGGATGTAGAGGCTTAGGGATTTAGGGTTTAGTGTCTAGGGTTGTACACTGTGTGTATATATATAGCGTAGACTCATTATGGTAAAATATATGAGAATATATATATATATAGAGAGAGAGAGATGTTCGTCTGTGTTTCTGTGTTCAGGGTTTTTGGTTGAGGGGTGAGGGTTGAGGATTTAGGGTTTCTGATTTAGGGTGCAAGGGTTCAGGTTTAGGTTTTAGGGCTAGTCTGATTTTCGTGTTGAAGGTGTAGCACATAGGATTTTCGGAAGAAGGCTCCTGGTAAGGCTGCTCCAAAGACTCATGTGTACTTCGGTTTGGCATGGTTTTCTGTTTGGGCTGGCAGTATCCTCCCCAAAAGGGTCTACATGGGGGGGCGTCTGAGCAGTGTCCAGGGTTTGGGGTAATAACTGCCTACTGGGCCCTAAAGTCTCTAAATGTTACCTATTAAATGTTACCTACGTTGGGCTATTTAGCTATTTGGATCCTCAGGGTATAAATAAATCCTGGGGGATTAGGGAATTAAACCTGGTGCAAGATTTCTTCCATCCACAGTAGCAAGCCTGTATGGTGGCATATGAGGACCACGCCCAGGAACTGCTCTACGCTGGTGACGGAGGCATGCCTAACGTCGGGGAGGAAATCTTGGCAAACCATGGCCAAAGAACAACTATATGGGAACCTTCACCAAACTTTCCTTTAGAGACTTCTCAGCCCCTGATAGTGCATGGAATTAGTCTTGGCAATTTCGATTCGAATGGCATGCACTTGGCTCATGACATCTTGCAAGTAATGTTGAGGAGCCACTGGTTGGGATCTAGGATGAAAGATCTGTTTAGTCGCCAGCCTGGGTGTGCATTGCAGCGGGCTCAGGGAGTTCATCAAATCTTGAAGCCTTCAGACTCTGTTCCCCCAGCGTTTTACCGTGAATCTTATTAGGTCGCATTCCCTGATCCTTACCAACAAGAAAGCTAACTTTGCTAAACAAAATCTCACGGCAGGAATATTATAGGTCAGGCAGAAGATCTGAGGAGCTGAAAACAACCTGCTGCCCTGAAGCATGAACCCTAAACCCCAAGACCCTAAACGTCTCAACCCCTAAACGCCTAGACCCTAAACCTCTGAACCCTAAACCCCTAAACCCCAAAACCCTAAACCCCAAAACCCTAACACCCTGAACCCTAGTCCCTAGCCAGTAAACTCGGACACCCGGAAGCAAGGCACTGAGGCAGCTCCATGTAAGGCAGGTAATGACCCCCATAGCCTGGAAAGGGGGTTATGTAGGGTTTAGGGCTTCAAGTATTCTAGGGTTTAAGGTTTAGGGCTTAGGGTTTATTTTGGGGGGTTAGCCTGGAACCTAGAGACAGGGGATTATGTAGGGTTTAGGGTTAATTGTTTAGAGGATAGGATTTTTTTTTTGTTTGGGGTGGGGGTGGGTTTTGGGTTTAGACAGTACTGTAAAGACGAGGGTTGAGAGTTGAAGGCGTAGGGAGGTTGACAAAAATGTAAAGAGTCGCGAAGGGCAAGCATGATCTCCTGCTCTGCGAGAAGTAGAGCCTAAACCCTAAACCTAGACACCTTCAGCTGCAACACTTACAGTCACAGAGGAACTACATGTAGGAATATGGGGTGTTGTTTCTCATGGCTCAACATTGCTACTTTAGAAAAAATCTCTTGACGCATTTCTGGCACACCCCCAAAAACGTCACAGAAGTGCTCCGCATGTCTGTCTTTCAATGCAGGTTTTTTCGTCCCACAGCAGTCGAACCACTGAAGGAAGCAGTCACACACACCCACACACACTCCAGGCTTTTTAACGACATTCACAGTAAGCACCCAGTCTATTGAAGCCAAAACGTCCAGCTTCAGCCATCAAGAGTGGTGGGAAGGCCGCATACTTGGTGCGCCGCTATCCCCAAGAACATTTATCAATCAAGATCTCCATCTTCCCCAACAAAGCCCCTGAAAGATCCACGCGTGGGAGCCATAATCCAGAGTGTTTTGAAGAAGACAATCGTGGTTTCCATGCTCTTTTCCATTATCCCTATATGACCCTAATATACTATTTAGTACTTTCCACTTTCTTTTCCGCTATCCCTCTATGACCCCAATCTATTATTTAGTAGTTTCCATGTTCCATGTTCTTTTCCATTATTCCCTATATCACCCCCAATATACTATAGTGTAGTGTCCATGTTCTTTTCCATATTCCCTATATAAGCCCAATATACTATATAGTAGTTTCCATTTTCTTTTCCATCGCAACATACTATGTAATAGTTTCCATCTTCAGCTCCATTATCCCTATATATGCTATCTATCTGTATATATATATATGTGTATATCCAGTAGTTTGCATTTTGTTTTCCATTACCCCAATACTATCCCATAAGCACAGCCCAGGAGCGGACGTAGGCACTTCGCAGGAAAAGCTCCTGGATCCAATGAGTTAAGATTAGGTTTGAGGGTTAGGGGTTTAGAGTTTAGGGTTTGGGGTTTAGGATTTAGGGTTCAGGATTCAGGGTTTAGGGTTTAGGATTTGGGGTTTCGGGTTTGAGGTCTTTGTTGTTGGTTGTAGTTAGCCCACATGACTCCAGGAAGAAAATTGTCCTTTTTAAATGAACATAAGGAATCCCATACCCCACGAAGTATAAAGGGTCCCTAACATTGATCCAGTTTAGGGTTTAAGGACTCGAGTGCTAGCTTTAGGGTCTGAGGTCTTGGGTGTTTGAGCGGCTCAGGTACTTCGAGAGCTGGGCCTCAGTCACCAGAAACTCCAGGTGCATCAAAGCATTGTACACCCTAGGGGCCGAAGTACCTTCAAATTCGATGGTTTCTGGCATCAGAAAACATTGAGATTGTGGCATTTCTTTACAAATAACCCAAATACCTGTATCCTTGAGGATGATAACAACTACATAGGGGCTAGGAGGCAATTCGTTTTCTAGCGATTCAGGCAGCGAGTGTACAAGCCCATACAGTTGGGGGCTTTAGAGGGGGATTGGGACTCCTTACATAGGAAGCAAGATATTGTAGCAAACTCATGTCAGAGACTCAATTTCATAAAGGAACCCTAGAGCCTGGAACCCCCATACGCGTGGAGGACCCGGGGGTAAAAACATTTGTTGAATCTAACTTCGTGATGTCCTTTTGTTGCCGGGACCGACCCACACCTCACCTCCATTCCCTTGTTACGCACGTTTGTTGCGCCCTATCGTCTCAAACCTCTTTGTCTTGAGCTTGGGCTGACTACACGCAATCATCAAGAGCTTGTCGCTCGCCAAGAGGTCTTCACATCCTTCAACCACTAATCAGTCTGCTACCCTGATTTGCCTGATTTTGTAAAACGGCCACCAAGTCTCCGAGACCTCCACGCGCTCGGGGGTCCGAAGTTGCTTGAGCCAAGTAATCTCCACGCGGTCGGCATCGTTGAGGCGCCGTTCCTTCAGTGAAACGACTGAGAGGATCCATTCTGGGGTCTGTTTAGAAGAATGTGAAGCAACTGTTTACGACTTTCTGACACGAGGTAGTTCACGATGACAGGTTGGTTGATGGATCAGGATATAAAGGGTTTAAGGTTGGGCGGGTTCACTCCCAGCGGCAGAGCTTAATGCTTGCAAGTAGGGTCGTATGATGAAGCACTGCCACTGGAACATACACTCGCACAAGGTCCTAAAAAGTTGGTGTCATCACAGCCAAGGCTCCACGTATTCCAGGGCTTGCTTGGATGCCGTGGCAGCCTTCCACCACACTGAACTCGACAAGCGCCAGCCGAGGTCAATGGTCAGGAGGGTGCCAGCCACCTGAGCCAGGGTAGGTTGCCTTGGGGTTGTATTAGGGTTATATTGGCATAATATTAGGGTAAATACTGGGGTTATATACTTGCTGTTTACATGTATTGCAAAGCTGTTTCTCTTGGATTGTGTGGCTTTGTAATCTGAACATGCGGCCTAAACTCTAGGGCAAATTATGTTTGTGGGCTTGAGGGGTTGGAAAGTTTCACGTGCATAGAGGCTTCGGCAGCCGTACCTGTCTTCCCCAGCAGTCCAAGTCCCTACCTTCTCTGTGCATACTAGGTCTCTCAAGGAACTAGTCCTTCCCTGTGCTGCCAGACTGCTTCAGGATAAGACTACCGCAGCAGGACTCCAGAATCAAATGCCCCCCATTATGGAACCTTTATTATGGAATTCTATATATGAACTGGGAATATTTGCAAATCATGGGCGTGGGGGTGGAGGGGGGTGTTCTACAGACATTAGAACCTGGAATACGGTCGAGTATCTGTCAGTACTGATACGGCCTTGGCGCCTGAAGTCTGACAACGCTTTAAAAATCAAACTTCATAGTCTGGTAGCTTTATAACCTTATCAGAACCTGAAAGTAAGCTAAGATGGGACTGTTTCCCACATTACTTACCAGCAACCCTAGACCCTAAACCCATGCAACCTACCAGCTAAGGGTGAGGTAGAGTGAGTCTTTCTGATCCCTTGCCCAGACTAGCGCTTTACCTCTGACGTCTTAGATTGAGGCTGCTGGCCATTAGCAACCCAGAACCCGCAACCTTGAGGCAAAATCCCTGTACCCTTTGCTAGGGATCCAAGTTACAAATAATACCTACCAGGGGACCCTAGAGTCTAAACCCCAAACCCTCAATGGTAGTTTTCATTTACTTTTCCATTAGCCCTATATAACCCACATATTATAAGTACTACCTAAACTCTAAACCCTCGATAGTAGTTTCCATGTTCCTTTCCATTAGCCCTATATAACCCGTATATTATATAAGTATTACCTATGTTAACGTGCTATTTTGGATCCTTCGGGCCTGGACCACGTGGCCGGACCCCGAAGCTAAACCCTAAACCCTTAACCCTAAAGGCCAGTCCGAAGGCCTTCATGTTAGGGTTTAGGGTTTAGGGCTTGGGGTTGGATGGTTCGCAGGGCATGGGTCTCAAACTTGCCCCCAAGGCTCACTGGGGGTCTGTAGGGAATCAGGGAAATATGTAGTCGTATACGGGCTATATTCCCTATTTCCCTACAAGAAAATCCAGATAGTCCTATGTAATCTCTATGGACTTTAGGGCCCAATGTAGGTACTATTTGTCTACTTGGATTTCTAGGGTTACCAAAGATATTCACATCGGACTACATGCTAAGAGGGAGAGCTGCAAGTATGAGAACTTCCTGAACCCAACCCCCAAAAAGCGAGCCACAACTGAACTACTGTTCAACATCGTGGCAGAGACAGGGGCACTGGCACATGTGGGCCAGTCTACGCTAATTAGTTTTGAGAGCCCTCAAGCGTGAAAACTCCCACATGTGGCTTTGCCTTGCGGTGCGATGTGCATGGCGACAGCGGTTTCCTTTCTAATGTTGAGATGCGCTTTGAGCTTCTGTGTCTAAGCTTTGGGGGTTAGGGCTTGAAGTTTGGAATGTAGGCTTGAAGGTTGAGGCCGGAGAGTCTGGGATACGGCGTAGCAACGTGAAAGCTAACTTCTGTTGGTGTTTCAGACAAACGCCAATGCTGGCACGTACAACACGAAACCTGCAGGTGACGGGGCACAGCACTATGGGCATGGGTCGCCAAGTTAGCCAAGTCAGAGGGAACGTCTGGAATTCCGGCCTCTCTTCATGGCGGCCCTTGTAGAAGCGCATTTAGTGTCCCTATGCTAGAGATATCTTGGAGGTACGTCGTAGTCACGCTTTCAGGACTCTCGAACATCCCCCGAAGAGCAGCCAGAAGATTTCTGTAGGCCTGTTCTCCTTGCTGCCTCAAGGCGGTAAGCAATTATCAGAATCCTCAATAGAGCGGCCCCTTTGGGGACCCAAGGGATACTTGGGGATTCCAGACTGTCCCTATCACGGTATAGGGGTATATTTCAGAACCATCCCCAAGCAAAGAGCTACAAGCAAGATAACATGACCTGAATTAAGCCGAGCCAAGCTTCAGGCCCAGAGCATCCAGAAATGCTTCCCAGTTGAGCCGATCGGTCGTGAGGGACTCCTTTCACTGGGTGCTGCTGGTGCTGGTGCTGGTGCTGCTGGTGCTCGTGATTACGTTCTTGCGAAGAATGAGGATGGTAGGTAATTACGACAGGAGCAATGACATTGAGGAATTACTGGCATCATTGTTGTCATGCTTTGCTCCGAGCCTGTCCTTTACCTCGGCGGCTTTATCTTTCTCCTCCCGCAGCCAGGGCGGTGGTGGATCGGAGGCCACACCGATGTCTTGGACTTCGGTCCTCAAGAGCTGGCACGAGGGAGGTTAGGGCGAAATGGGGGCTGGTCGAACAAACTTAACAAAGACTGAAACCATGGCTCTTTTCAAAGCTCCCTTTCTAGGTCCCGAATCGGCCATGGATTTCATGCCTGAGTTCGAAGAACCGGGCTGTGAGCGTCAAGGAAGTGCAGTTCACCAAGGAGACGACTCATTTGATTAGGGCCCTAACCCTGGCTTTCTGGAACATCCAGAACCTTTTCTTGCAGAATCTCATACACATGACACGGTGAAAAATACCACCCATGCAAAGAAACCCTTCACAATACACTTGTATAGTACTGCTCTATCCCCAGCGTCGCGAACACCACCTCAAATATAGAACCCCCACCAGGATCATCCTTTCCGGGCGGGGGCAGGCTGAAGACAGTGGCAAAGTCACTCCACGCCGTGGACGAGGCCCATGATGGCTACAAGCACGTCGTGCTGAAGCTCGCTTCCTACCGCTTCACCCAGATACCTCGGTGGGAGGAGGGTTGTGGATTTTGGTTGCTTAGGGTTCGACGGTTTATGGGTTGGGTTGAGGAGTTCGGGCCCAGGATTTAGGAGTTTACACGCCGTGTTTGCTGCTGAGGGCAAGAAGAGCTGCTACTCGGATGTCCAAGACCCATGTAGTACCTGCGGCAACGCAGAGACTGCATGGAATGTCCAAAGTAATTTATATTGGGAGACATCAAAAAAGGGCACACCACGACAAGGGCTAGGCAGCTCAAGACTTCAAGATGGGCGGTAAGTATCCCAGAACACGACCTATGTTACGTTTTGAAAAGCCTGCAAAGTCCTCATCCTAAGCCCCAACCCCTGTATGATTTCTTCAGTACCCTTTCAAGCCTTCACCCATCCCCTGTTCAACCCTTTCGAGGCCCTAAACCCTGAACACGGCTCCTTCAGCACATCCAGGGCACGTAGGGCATGTGAGGCGCTCACAGGGGCCGAAACTACTCCGACGGCTGCTGCAGGGGAAGAGAAGGCCTCGACTTCAAGTCCACAAACCTTACATCAACAAGATAAGAAGATAACAAGTTGAAGAAGTCTATCTTATACAGCATACTGGTGGATTTTGCTGCCAGTAAGAAGAGCAATCAGATGGCGATCAAAGTAGCGAAAATTGAAGCTGCGATGCCAAGACGAGATTAAGAAAACAGAGGTCATACTAGCTGCAATCGGAATTTCCAAAAAAGTGTAGCTTCCAGATTATGTGTTTCAGAGGTTGGGGTGAGGGCCCTGTGGGCCCTAGAGTCCGGGCGAGGGTGTAGGATTTGGGGCTGCGGCCCTGGGGACTTAGAACAAGCTGTGTGTAAAGGACGTTCATGACGGTCTATTCAAACATTAGAGTACGGCTTAGTGTCCAGGATTTAGGAGCTAGGGTTGTGACGATTGGGACATATGGTGTGTGTGGCAAGGTCTTCACCCTGCATAGGGCTGCAACGCTCAAGATACATGAAACGTCCCAAGCTCATAAAGCCATCTTCCTCTGTCGAGTGTGGTTTCAACAGCAATCAAGCCCAGCCCTCTAACAGTGAGCCCTGAATGGCTGCTGCCATTTGATATAGGAGTCTGTCTTGATGGGGAAGTGAAATCTCTGCATGGGCATTTCCAACCCCTAGCAACTCCCCATATGAACCCGGCAAGGCCGGGCCATGAACAGAGATCAGGCATCTCTAAGCACACGAGTTGAAGCCAAAGTATAGGTAATTTGGCACTTACTAAGGACCTTTGAGACTTTCAGAAAACCTGTAATGAAGCTCTGTTTTCAGTATGGACTTAAAAGCTCCAAGGATTTAAACGCAGTGGAAGCAAGGATTGGCAAAATTAGCCCCTTACTATGCGTATGCAATCCAAACATAATACCTAGGGCTTCCAGTTACCAAATAGCAGGTTATGGGCTATGGAACTATAGGGTACATAGTGACCAGTTCCCATTATTTAGGTAACTGGGGCCCTCGGGATACACTGTTGTCATACACATCCCCAAGCCCCATTCTAATTCAACAGCCTCCACATCACACCCTTCTCCAAGATCCAAGAATGGCCCAGGGGCCTTTTCCCAGCTCGCGCCACTGAACGGGATCTCCTAGCGAGCTTAGGGTTTTATAAGGGGTATATAGGGATATATTAGTTTTAGGGTGTGTAAAATGGGAGCAAAGGTAGTACTATATATATATATAGACATGTATGTATGTGTATATATATATATGTAATGTATACACTTGGTTTAGGTTTAGGGTTTAGTGCGTATAGGTGCAGGTGTTGAAGGCTTCATGGTTTCCAGCCTCAGGAGGGGTTCACCGCTTACAGTTTTGGGGTGTAGGACTTAGTATTCAGCGGTTCGCGGGTTAGGGTTTACTTGGAGGATAAGGGGGGCATTGTAAGTTTACATAAACTCCCTAACAGCCAGATAATACCTCAACTATCCCCATTATCCCTGACCCAATAAAGTACAGGCTAAGCTTTAAATCCAAAAAAAGCTGAAAAAAAGGTTCCATTAGGTGCTCAGTTTCTCTTTCATCTGATTCTCCCTATAATCTCACTAAGCCACCTCACCTCGCCTTATAAAGCCACAGCCTTCAAAGACTCAAGTAACCCAGGGGCCTACATAGACATCAATATCATCTTGACGTTTATGTGAGGGACCCTATACCATGAGCATATGAGGAATCTAGGACCACTGTATTGGTGACTATGTTGGCTTTTACGTCAGGAGGTAGCCAAGACTCACATGCTTGCAGCTTTTTGGGCAAGCGTTCCCTCGACCATCAGCAAGCTCTTGTTAGGCCTAAACTTGAAGTCCTAACTTTCCAACTTGAGCCCTGGAGCCAAGCCCGAAGCGATGAAACAGTGTGAGCCCCCCAGCGATGAAGCCGCGACCCTGAATCTCAAAGCTGGTGGCGCATTACTCTTGCAAGTCTATCCCACTCTGAACTCTCACCACAAGTCTCTAAACCCCGCCCTCCCCAAACCCGCCCATAACCGTCAACCTTAAACCCTAAACCCTACTCCCTCCAAAGACCTCCCTTCTCTCGCGGGGCGCCAGTTGCTCCGGTGAGGAAATGATTCCTCCTAGGTTGCAGTTGGGCATGTTGCACAACAGTCTTCTATATTCTGTTGGTTTGGTATGTGCTAGGGTCTTCAACGAATTCAGGGTTTAAGTGCTTTTGGCACTTTGGGTAGTTGGTCCTTGTTGACAGAGCGATGACGCTAGGTTTACTCAGAAGCCCAGCGTCAGGCAAGCCAGACTGGCCCAAATGCCGGACCTGGCAAAGACAAGATCCAAGAATGAAAGTGTCGTGTTAAAGGGAGGCCATGCAAGTGCAAAGGGATGGTATAGGCTGGGCAGGAATTCTAAGGCCTTATCGGCCTTGTGCAGCTTAGTGCAAGCAATTGCCTCACATGTCCTCGTCTGGGGGATCCCTGTGTGCCTGGTAGACACAACCCCCCACGGTATACCGTGTTCCCCAGAGTTGCCACGTTCAGGGCCTTTCCTCCAAGGTTAAAATATCCCCATCTCCCTGGGTTGCTGGTAAGGAACTTCAATGAAGTTACCATATTATGAGAAGATAGTAGATAATAGGGCTTCAATATATGAGCTATAATCACTCTAAACTCCTAGTATACCTTTCAGTAGCCCCCGAAGGCCCCTATATAATCCCCAATATAACCACCCCTTTCAAGGAGTTTTGACGGCAGTACAATATCATAACTTAAACTAAGTTATTTAACAGCAACCCATCTTCCTCAGGACAAATGAAGGCCTCAGTGTCGCTGTGTCCAGGGCCGCAGGTCCTTGCTGGAGCTGTCCTGAAGGTGATAAGCTTGAGTGTTGAGAACCTACATATTCAGTACTTGCTTGGGGTTTATAGGTATATAGGTTTAGGGCCTAGGGCTTAGGGTTTAGGTTTATAGGGTTATAGGGTTTGGGGACGTGGTAAGTAGCTTGCAAAGCATGGAAGACTTCCGCAGGGAATGCAAGAGCCGAGATACTTGCCATCATCTTTCTAAGGCGCATTTTAGGTACTCGATCTAAGCCAAGTATACGGGTACTTATCTAGTATCTAGACATCTAGGCTCCTTCATTAAGCTCCACATATGTGTACGCATATGTGTACAGATTTTGCATATCTATATATATATATGCATACATATACATATATATATATGGTTACTGATCAAAACCACGTGCCCCGA